GTCAGTGTGATTGCATGACACTGGTGATGGGGATGCCATACAGATTCATGTCAAAAATACCGAACTATCCCTTTAACTAATTGGAGGGATATAGAGGCTGGATATTTTCCACGCAAGGTGCTATAAATAAATGAAATAAAAAACAAGGCTTTGTTTGCGGTTCTCTCTATAAAGCCTCAATATCCACACTATTTCTGACATTTTGAATTGAAAAAACGTCTTGGATGGGGAGAGAAATGTCTTCAAACTTGGAAACAAAGTCCAGTGGATTGTTTTTTTTTTTTACTTTTCTGAAATTCTATGGAAGCAGCTCTAATCCCACCCACTGAATTTGATGGGTGAAGATGACAGTTTCAATGATTTCATGATGAGTTTCCTTCTCACTCGTCTCTCGACTGAGAGATTGTGAGAGAGGTTTAAAGTGGGTGTTGTTGTGGAAAAGAGGAGATTTTGTTATCCTCTCATCTCCAGTGGTTAGAGTGCCTCTAGTACTTTAAACTTCTGAAGTGTAAAATGTCCAAACCTGAAAGATCCTTGTTGTTGGTTCCTCAACTTAACAACCAAAATCTGAATGTGTTTAAGCCTAAATGATAAGCTCACCCTTTTCTTTTCCCACTGATGTTAGCTTATAATCATCTGAACTGAAAAGACTGAAAAGAGAAAAGCGCAGAGCTAGCAGCTCCAGTGAGTGACTGTGTCTTAATTTCCTGGGTTTCAGGGCCTGCCGGCTGAAGAAGAAGGCCCAACATGAAGCCAACAAGATCAAGCTGTGGGGGCTCAACCAGGAATATGGTCAGTACTGCTCCTCATTGTGTGTAGATTGAGTTCCTCTGGAGCTAAAGGAGCTTTTTAAATGGTTCTATATTTGTATTCAAAGCAAAGGCATGTCTCTACACACAAACATATGGGAACACAGCATTCTGCTCCAAATCAAGCAGGAAAGAGAAATGATCTAGATTATCCTCACTAAATGAACACCAGGCTGCAGTTTCTGCATGTTCTTTAACCCATTAACTAGCCATTGCCCACCAGTGGGCCCTAGAGCGACTTTTAAAGGGTTAAAAAGCTTCATGTGTGAAACAAAAATGTTTTTCCTCACAATCATTGGACTATTATTCATTGCATAAGCATCAATTTTCCGAGAACTGCTTATTTCCCTTGAAGCATGGAATCAATAATCTTCTGGCACCAGTGATCAGGAATCCCAGTGCAGCATGGTTGGCATAACAGGGTTTAACTACAAGGTTTCACTACAGAGTTTAACTATCAGAGTTTGACTACCAGGGTTTAACTACCAGGGTCTTACTACCAGATTTTAACTACCAGAGTTTGACTACCAGAGTTTGACTACAGGGTTAACTACCAGGGTTTAAGTACAAGGGTTTAACTACCAGGGTTTAGCTACCAGGGTTTAACTACCAGATTTTAACTACCAGATATTAACTACCAGAGTTTGACTACCAGAGTTTAACTACAGGGTTTAACTACCAGGGTTTAACTACCAGGGTTTAACTACAGGGGTAAGCTACCAGGGTTTAGCTACCAGGGTTTAACTACCCAGGTTTAACTACCAGAGTTTGACTACCAGAGTTTAAATACCAGGGTTTAACTACCAGGGATCAACTACCAGGGATCAACTACCAGGGTTTAACTACCAGGGTTTAAATACCAGGGTTTAACTACCAGGGTCTTACTACCAGATTTTAACTACCAGATATTAACTACCAGAGTTTGACTACCAGAGTTTAAAAACCAGGGTTTGACTACCAGGGTTTGACTACAAGAGTTTAAATACCAGGGTTTAACTACCAGGGGTCAACTACCAGGGTTTAAATACCAGGGTTTAACTACCAGGGGTCAACTACCAGGGTTTAACTACCAGGGTTTAAGTAAAAGAGTTTAACTACCAGGGTTTAACTACAGGGGTAAGCTACCAGGGTTTAGCTACCAGGGTTTAACTACCCGGGTTTAACTACCAGAGTTTGACTACCAGAGTTTGACTACCAGAGTTTGACTACCAGAGTTTGACTACCAGAGTTTGACTACCAGAGTTTGACTACAAGAGTTTGACTACAAGAGTTTAACTACCAGAGTTTGACTACCAGGGTTTAACTACCAGAGTTTGACTACAAGAGTTTAACTACCAGGGTTTAACTACCAGAGTTTGACTACAAGAGTTTAACTACCAGGGTTTAACTACCAGAGTTTAACTACCAGGGTTTAACTACCAGAGTTTGACTACAAGAGTTTAACTACCAGGGTTTAACTACCAGAGTTT